AGGACAGGTCATTTTCGACACCAGTATAAGTATATTTCCCAGTACACAGACATAGGACAGGTCATTTTCGACACCAGTATAAGTATATTTCCCAGTACACAGACATAGGACAGGTCATTTTCGACACCAAAGCAGGACAATTAGAAAATTAGTAATTTGTTTCATGGCAATTGTATACATATATACATAAAGTTACTATTGTTGTAATATTTTATGGACAATTTTTTAAAATCCAAGTATTACTTCCTTACCTGCTCGTGTTGAGCCTTCTTTGATCTTCATTGGTTTAGCCAAATTAACTCTTACTGTTCTTCCAAAGAGCTCAGAATCATTCTGTTACGTATACAAATTTCTTCACTAGTTAGGGTTTATCTATTCTGTTAAGACACAAAACTTTCACACTAGTAGTTTTCATCATAAATGAAATGTCAACATTAACTACAAAGTTTTCTCTCCTATAAATTGTGCTTGATATTTAAACACAGAATTAACTAGCAGGTGAATAGAAAATATATAATATGTCTAATGATCTGTAATCACTGAATACGACTACGGTATCTACCACATTTTTGAAGAGATCACGTTTGATTTTCCTTTATGTGAAACCAAACCTACATCTTACAGGTTAAGAAAACAACAATTTTTAAACACAAAAAGTACCATGTATCAAAGATAAACAATAACAAGAAATACTTTAAGAACATACTAACACACTTCCCAATAATGATAAATAAAAACGTACACCTTAAGGTGTTATCCTTCAAATGTTAGGTTAAGAGTTACAAAACTAATAACTTTTAAGAATGGTGAAATACTTCAGTAAAATGTTCAGTCTCCATAAAAACTAAAACCAAAACTTACCATGTTGTCAATAGCAGCAGCTGCATCCTGAAACCAAATTTTTTTCTATAATAAATATAATTTTTTAATACATTTAAATCAGGTAACAAAAGTTCGGTCAGCCTTGCATTAAAGACTGAGGAAAGTTAGTTGGTTGAGTAAAAATTAAGAATATTATTCTTTAAAGAACAAAAAAAAACAGTCTATGCAAGGAAAAGAACCAAAAACAACAAAAACATGGGTTAAACTTTAAACTTACTTGTTATGATAGACATATGCTTAAAAATTTAAGATAAATATTTCGTTTAAATAACAATGTTGTCAAAATAAAATTCTAAACTTTGAGGTAAGTTGTAAACAAAACAGATTGTATTGTCAAAACTCCACAAATTATGCAAATTCTTATATCAAATCAGTTCCCTGATTTATGCTTATGAAAACAGACACTAATCACAGTGACAAAAGGAGAAATGACTTGCTTCTCATAAACAGTAAATTATACTAAATGAAGAATTTTCTAAAGTTATAATTTTCCTATACCTCCGCTGACATAAATAGTCCCTCTACCCATTCAATGTGGGATTCTAGAGGGACTGGTGCGGGAGAAAGAAAGAATCATTCATCAAAAGCGCCCAAGGACCCCCGAAAAGAGTAGATCTCCTCGCAGTAAAAGATCATAAGTGGGAGACTGCTCCACTTCTGTAGCAGGTATACTCTCCACCCAGTGTGGAAAGAGGTGTCACAGACATGGGCGGAAATTGGGAGGGGCATATCCAAACGGGAGAAAACAATGGTTGGACAGGGTTCCAAACCACACGATATTTGAATCTCAATCCCCTAGAGAACATTAATGTGGGTGAGAGCAAAAGAATGTGACTCCAAGTGTAGAGTGTCTAGGGCATGACAGACAGACCGTACACGGCAGGTCAACTGCATTCAAAACCCAGCCACCAGGAACTGCCATCCATGTATGGGTAGGATGAGGATCATACTGGCAGTAAGTCAACTGCATTCAAAACCCAGCCACTAGGAACTGCCATCCATGTATGGGTAGGATGAGGATCATACTGGCAGTTAGTCAACTACAATCCAAAACCCAGCCACCAGGAACTGCCATCCATGTATGGGTAGGATGAGGATCATACTGGCAGTAAGTCAACTACAATCCAAAACCCAGCCACCAAGAACTGACATCCATGTATGGGTAGGATGAGGATCATACTGGCAGTAAGTCAACTACAATCCAAAACCCAGCCACCAGGAACTGACATCCATGTATTGGTAGGATGAGGATCATACTGGCAGTAAGTCAACTACAATCCAAAACCCAGCCACCTGGTGAGGGGTAGAAAAGAGGATCATACCATCTTCTGGTATCATAAAGATGTCTTTGTAATGTAAACCACCATCCTCAGGAACTGCCCCTAGCACAATAGCATCCTCAGTATAATAAAATGGAGGGATAGCATAAAAGGAAGAACCTTATTAATCTGCAAGTATCTCCACCGTGACTCACAACACGGATGGAGGATTATGATTGAGTGAGGAAACAGAGACACCTATAATACATGTGATAGGATTTATGTTGATTGATTCAGCTCTAAATCCAAAACCCAGCCACTGGGAACCGACTTCCGCATGAGGGTAGGATAAGGGATCCTAATCGAAGGAGTGAACTATAATTTTGATGGCTCACTCCAATTATACATGTTGGAGGATATCTTATCATCTACACCAGCAGAACACCATCACCCTACTCTAAACTGAATGTTTTTATGAATTTAGGTGAGTTTGTAACAGCTCTTGTCACATAGTTAGAAAGCCAGAAAAAATTTGAGTTAGAGGATATTGTCTATTTTTTGCATGTTATTATTCTATGTTCTTTGGTGCATTATTTAATTAAATAAAATTTATTTGGTATGTTACTGCCATTAGTATAAAAAATTAGGGTTAATTAATTTCGAAAACCCGACAGCAAGAAAAAAGATTGGGTAAGTACTTTATCTATTATTATAAGAATAACTAAAATCTAAAAATATGCAT